GGCAGTGCCAAATCGTGTTCGCTCACTTATTTCAATTATTTTTTTACATTTTTCTATTTTCTGTTTTCTACTTGTTTCTCCTATTTGGTAACGAATTTAGATGTGATGCTCTGGCAAATGCTGTGTATTTTATTTTTCTTCATAACATTTTTTTTTTTTGAATTTTTTGACAGTTTTTTTTTTTTTTTTTTCTCGCGCGGAATTGAACCCCACGTTCGGTCCTGTTCATTGAACGCGCGTGCATTCGGTTCAGTTTCTGAACGGAAAACCCGCGTTCAATGAACGTATGGTGGTCGTCGTAGTCGTTGGAGTTTGCTGCTTCTTGCTCTGCGCATCGAGAAGGAAGAAGTTTCTCGTTCAAATTTGGCCGTAGAAAAGCAGACAGTCCTTCCACAAGAGGTTGCACAACACGCAAAGGCCTTCAACAGTTACGCAGCGTGTCAGAGTAAGTTAAAGGCCCATAGGTCTTCAAGAATGGAACACACAAACAGAGCAGCGGTAGATCCGCTGCGGTAGTTGACGGCCAGCGACGGCCTGTGACGTTTTGGGAGTTGTAGGCCTATAACATCTGGTGGCGTCGAAAACGCTTTCGAAGTTATAGGCCTATATCATTCGGTGACACGCTGAGAGTGGCAGTATGTCCGCAGCGAAAAAATGGAACACACAAACAAAGCAGCGGTAGATCCGCAGCGGTAGTTAACGGCCAGCAACGACATGTGACGTTTCGGGAGTTATAGGCCTATAACATCCGGTGGCGTCGAAAATGTTTTCGAAGTTATAGGCCTATAACATCCGGTGACGTACTGAGAGTAGCAACATGTCCGCAGCAGAAAAATGGAACACACAAACAGAGCGGYGGCAGATCCGGAACGGTAGTTAACGGCGACGACCTGTGACGTTTCGGGAGTTATAGGCCTATAACATCCAATGGCGTCGAAAACGCTTTCGAAGTTATAGGCCTATAACATCCGGTGACGTGCTGAGAGTAGCAGTATGTCCGCAACGGTAGTTAAAGGCCAACAACGGCCTGTGACGTTCAGGGAGTTACAGGCCATCCGGTGGCGTCGAAAACGGTTTTGAAGTTAAAGGCCTATAACTTCCACTGACGCGCTAAAAAAATCCACAGCGGAAGAATGGAACACACAAACATAGCTATGTCACACGCTGAGAGCAATGATACCCATAACAAGTTCAAAAGAGAGACCCACAATTTCGAAGAGGAACTTGTAGGTCATTAACGTGAAGAATGGAACACACAAACAGAGCAGCGGCAGATCCACAGCGGTAGTTAACGGCTAGCGACGGCCTGTGACATTCCAGGATTTATAGGCCTATAACATCAGGTGGCGTCGAAAACGCTTTCGAAGTTAAAGGCTTATAACTTCTACTCACGTGCTGACAGTAGCGGTAAGTCCACAGCGGAAGAATGAAACACACAAACAAAGCTACTTCACACGTTGAGAGCAATGGTACCCACAACAAGTTCAAAAGAGAGACTCGCAACTGCGACGAGAAACTTCTAGGTCATTAACGTGAAGATTGGTACATCACACACTGAGAGCAAGGGTACCCATAACAAGTTCAGAAGAGAGACCCATAACTCCGAAGAGAAACTTATCGGTCATTAACGTGAAGAATGAAACACACAAACAGAGCAGCGGCAGATCCGCAGCGGTAGTTAACGGTCAGCGACGGCCTGTGACGTTCCGGGAGTTATAGGCCTATAACATCCGGTGGCGTCGAAAACACTTTCGAAGTTAAAGGCCTATAACTTCCACTGACGCGCTGAGAGTAGCGGTAAAT